AGTTGGCAGAAGAACTTGGGACCGAATATCAGAAAGAGAAACAGATAAGCCAAGAATGCTCATCAAAAACAATAATAAACACAAACACCGCTTCTTCTGAGCGGAGATCTTGTCAAATAAGACATTGTAAAGTCAACAAAACAAACAAAATTTGTATAAAATGTAAAAAATACGTATGTGGAAAATGTGCAATACAAAATGATGTAATTTGTAAAAAATGTGATGAAAATGCATAAAAGTAAATAAAACATACAACATCGAAAAGCGGGGAACGAGTTTCTATTGTAGCATCAGAAAAATATTTTGTTTACTATCTACTTTACATATGTTTTTTTGACGCGGTTATTTGACCGCTCATGGTAGAAATAGGCATACATGAAATGTCGGTAGCTTTAGTGTTAATAAACCAAAAATGTAATTTTTTAATTAATTTTCTTATCGTTGTTTTTCATATGTGTACCATTTACGTTTATATTGATTTCTTTATTTTTGATTCTAAAACCTCTATGTTTTTGTTTATATTTTCTTAATAGCAATAAGGTAAAGCGATTTCATATCGTGTTCATCTCTTAGACTTTTTTGGACCGAAAATAGGAATAAGAAATCTTTGGTTCACGTCCTCATTATAAATCATTGTACTCTACACAACTTGCCGGAGTGTATTAAGTTCGCGCTTGCGTAGGTAACCCGTAGAAACACTTCAGATAAATCCACATCCGGTTATAGCGATTAATTCAAAATCATTTTCTCAATCGATCTGAGTCTTGTAATGTGTGGCTTGACTTAACAAACTGTGTTTTCTAAAAATGCAACCCGGCATTACTTACTTTGTTTATCTAATCTACTTAACACCTATAGGAAGAAGATACCGGTCTAACTAAGCGTACGTATACCCTTTTTGTAATGTAAGGATCCTTAAGATTCATTCGAGATGATGAAGTTAAACATAACCATGAATGATCTCTTATGCAGATAAGAGCCTATCCATTTCACTAAGTACAAAGTCAAGCCAAAGGTCTGGAGCTTGATGATCAATAAGTTATGGGCAACTAAGTCAAACGCTTTACTAAGATCAGTATATCAGTATACAGTATGCGACATCCGTGCGAGAGTCACCGAAAAAAGCCTTGAAAACATAGCAAGTGAACTCGTAACAGCAACACTTCGTAACAGTTGATCTTCCTTTTTAGAAGCCACGCTGGAAAGGAGAAAAATAGAGTTTGATAGCAACAGGTAAATGCTGAGTAACAACTAGCTCAAACAATTTACGTAAGGCACTCAACTAGACAATGCGTCTGTAATTCTCAACGTGATGTCTATTTCCTCATTTGTGAAGCAGAATAAGAAAAATATTCTGCCAACACAAAGGAAAAACACATGACTTCAAGGACTAGTCGAAAACCTTTGAAATAACACCACATAACCCGTCAGAAGATAATTTGAGTAGATACGATGGAACGTCACAATCACGTACACCTGTTGGCCCTGACGCACAACTATAGTTTAGCGGTGTAGTATTATCGATCAGTCGAACTCTACCGTAGTCTACAAGTTATTGCTAAGTATACAATTTCCTACTAACCTAGTTAAGGTAGTGGAATTTTAGTAATAAGCAATTCATATATTAGTAGTAAGCTATAACCTACTTTTAATTATACTATTCGCTTAAGTTAGCATTAATTTATTAGTTATATAAGACACCTGAGCATACCTCAGTAAGGTCAGAATATAATCAGTAGTGTCATAAGTCTAATAGAACGTAAGCCAAAATCTAAATAAAGAGTAACTAATTAAAGAACCTTAAATATTGAGTGGTATCACTACAGCGGCCTCAAACGTAAAAAAAAAAAAAAATTTAAAACTTTGTTTTCTGAAAAGACTAAGTTATAATCGGTGGCGACTTTGTTCTCAGTTACGCATAGTTAACAATCAGCAATTAAAAAAATTTTTCGGAAAATCCAATTTAAGGAGATTTGAGGAGTCCAGAGGACTCGGAGCCATTTTAAGATACATGCGAGGGAAATATGGAGATTTGTTCTTCGGAGTTTACAAACTTAAAGGAATTTTTAAAATTAATAAGCAAGAAGGATGTTAGCAACTGAAGGTATCTGCAAAACCATTGGGATAATTAAATGTGTGCACAGCAGCTGAATAGGCGACATAGTCATAAGAAGGACCGCCTTAATAAATTTTTTAAAAGTTCGTTTTTCCTATTTTTGTAATTTTTAATATTCTTGTTATACTGTGGCGGGCACACGCCTCGAGGGCGAGATTGCTTGGTCGAAACGGATGCAGAAATGGGCAGTTTTAATACATTACAGAACGAAGATAATGGAATTTGAATAATAGGTACTGATGCAAATTACGATGAAATAATTCATTGAAAAGCACAGTAGCCCAATCAGATGTTAAAGTGAAGACCATATCGCCAGAATTATCACTCCCCGATCCCGAGGAATGAATTCCTTAATTAAAGAACACAATGGTTTGTTTAACAAAATTTCCAAGTTTTCAGTCGGAATTAACACTTCAAAAGATGAAATAACTCTAGGTTGAGATGGAGCCAATTTGAAAATGCTTACACGCTTTAAATTGACGGATGGGACTTTAGCAGCCAGATAGCTTTTTATGTTACCCTCAGAGGTGTCAGGCGCCAATTTTAACACGAATATTGCCTTTCTGGAGGATACTGCCCCCAAGCAGACATCAGCCCTACTAGGAACAATAGGATTCGCAAGTAGATAGTCCTGAGTTGGCAGCACCACAGGGAGGACTTCACCATAGCTAAAACAGAGAGCACTTCACAGCTCATCCGTAACTATTTTATTATCGACAAAATCAACAATAGAACAACCGCTAATATCCCCTGTCGGCAAGGATGTAGTACTCAAATGAATCGGCTTAAGAGACTTAAGCGAAGACGGACGTGAAGTATCGCACGCTACACTATGAGTTGATCTTTTGTAGGCTGTGGGAGAAAATAAATATTCTAGCTAGCGACACTCGTCTTCATTTTATCAACATTTTCGTACAATGTTACGAGATTTTTACTTAATTCAGAAGAACCATACCATGTTTTCGAGAAAAGCTTACAAAAGTCAATATCCCGTATTAAAGTAAACGAAAACTTCACACTAGCAGGAACACAGTAAACAAAGGGCAGATGTTCGAAAACAACAACACGTAAAAAGCAAGAAAGAGACTTTTTGACGAAAGCACCAAATGCTGATCGCAAAAACCAAAATGAATGGCTCCACAAAAAGTTCAATATATCTGAATAAACTTGAACACTTTTATGATTAGGCTTTAAAACCGTATTAGGTATTAAACCAATAAAATAAAAATAGAAATTACAGAATTTTTGCAAACGAAGTAAAAAATATGACCGCGTGCGTGAGCACAGTTGCCGGACTTTTAGTATGCATATATAAATATATACCTAATTGTCCATATACATAAACAGAACTAAAGAAATTAATCCGCAACTATTTTAACATATTAAATGTTGATTAATATGCAAAGGAAAAAAAAAATGAAATAAAATATAATTTTTCTTAAATTTGGGCGGACCCTCGGACCCAACTTCGGGATCTCCACTAGATCATTGGCGGAAGGAGATCGTTAGGTAGGGCGGACAATTCATCATCATCATTTCTTTCATCCGGATGTTCATTAAAAGGCAAGTACGTGCCATTCTTTTAGGATTAAATGCCTGAGAAGTGTTCGTGAGCCAAAATATAAAACCCCCCACATCTCACGAACTACCTAGCTCAGCAAAGGCACATCAGCCCCATGCTCCTGCAACCCTCCTAAAGCGAAACTTTCGAATTTCCCTAACTTTGAATGCAGTTAATAGTTTTCTGTAAACAGGAAGAAAGGGTATAGATAGTATAGTTACAGCCTTCTTGTCCATCTGTTATCTGTCCATGAAAATTTGTTTTCAATCTACAGGTCGCGAATTGCGAGATATTTTGAGGAAATTTAATGAAATTTAATATAATATACTGATGTGCTTTGACTCAAGGGTGAACGCTATTGAAAACGGTTTGGACTTTCATGGTCCTTCCCCACATAACGCCATATTTTGAAAAGTCGTTATACAGAAAAAACGGCAATTTCCAAAATTTCGGAATCAAATTATCGCTTAAGAATTTCTACCCGTGTAAATGTGATTGTTGAATACAAATAACATTTCGATTGTTAGAAAAATTAATTCAGTTGCCATCACCGAGAGTAGAGGTGAACTTACACGAATGAACAGAAATGTTGGTACAAGAATTAACGCATATGGAAAGGAAATACTACGTGAATACCGTTTTAAAATTAAAACAAAAAATTTAATGCATGAGCTGATCACGCAAAGCCATCATCCATGAGTAAAATGATCATCATATCAGCTTTTTCTTCAAGGTCTTCTAGGTTTCAAATATATTGTTAATCCTGCGCCACCCCCGGCAATCGCCTTTGGGACCACTCTTCATAAAGTTACATTATCGATGTCGGGACCTGCATTGTCGTCTTTTATGCGTGCTATACAGGGATATACTAATCCCGGACCGGCTGCTTGTGTGGATGGAAGAAATTAGTTAATGAAAAAGGTAAACTTTTTTCTTGTACTACAAATTCGATCTTAACAGATTTCACTCTCCTTGCATTCATTTATATATTTTTTCTCTTTAGACACCTTCAGTGTATGAATATGACCCTATGGTAAGCGAATGACCTTCGTGAGGAATTGTTTACGCAACAACCACCATAATATGCTTTAAGTCCCGATTTTTGAATTAGCTGCTTGTGTTGTACGACAGAGCAATCCATTCCGGCACCTAATAATTAATAAGAAAAGGTAAAGCTTATTTGTATTCCAAAGTACAAAAATGGTTGACTTTATCGTTATATACGCACCGTTGGTCTGAACATTTCAACCGCGTTCAGCAAGCCTCTGAGACGGTTTTCCACGCCGCCCTTGAGGTACCGTTTTAGGCGCGTTGCCAATTATTTTAAATGCCTGGCTCCCCTGTAGGCATACGCCATTTAAGCCCCGTTCCTACATAATATACTTAAATGATACAAAATACATAAAATATATCATTCGACGATCTCTGCTGGGCGGCTTTCCTAACATTTGGATCTTTTTCTTCTTGATTAATGTAATTACTAAATTTATATATAAAGATAGCCACAAACTTACCATTGGCTTGTGAAAGTGTCGCATTCCGCTGAAGCGATATTGCAGGCGCGTGGTTGTTATTTTGATCTGAAATGAAATAAAAGCAAATGAATAATTTATACATAATAATAAGAAAGGGTAAATGCAAACTTACCTTTGGCATATAGCGAATCTTCATCTATATGAGGCGATGAGCGGATTGTTGGACTGCTTTTTTTAATCTAAAATGGAAGATATAAATAAGTAATATATAAAAACATTATTATAATATTATATTTACCTTTACTTTGCTTATTTGCCTGCCCGATTCTCCTTTGTTATATGGCTTGTAGACCTTCTCTATTCTGAAATGGAAAACGAAAAAAGGTAAGTAATTTATAAGTATATTTGTATAATATTATAAGTACCTCCACTTTGCTAGTTTCGATGCCCGATTTTCTGTATTTTCCTTAGAATGACCTGTCGTCAATCTGGTAAATATTTGTCCATCGTGCCCGATTGGTTGAAACTCTTCTTCGGGCTCTTCTTCTATGCTGTGGTTTCATTTATGGATCAGATGGTAGTCGTGTTGGGGTGGGCCTATTCGCGTGGGCAGATATTTGTTGACGTTTTATCCTGTTATACGATTTCAAAATAGGGTCCGATGGTCTCGTACGTTTTCTCTGACCAAACGCCATCTTGATGAAAAAACGCTCCAGGAGATCCTGGCTTACCCTGTATGATTCTATCTTGATGCCAGGGTAAGCATCCACCAGGTCGTCCATTATGGCGGTGAAATTATCGATGACTAATGGTTCCCATTTAACAGCAGTTTTTGGCAGTTTTTAGGAACTCTGGTGACTTGCAATTTTTCTTTTAGATTTTCCCAATTGTTGGCCGTTATTGCATTTCGATGGAAGACGTTTGTTATATTGGTTAGTTTTCTTTCCTCGCCTGCGGCGAAAGTGTTCGCGTCGATTGCTGCTTGCAGTGACGTACAACCTCAGCGGCACTTCGTAGAGATGATACAGTTTGTACTACATTTCTTCTCCGCCAGAAATCAGATTTCGGCCTATTTTTGGCTGAAAGCTTTGCTTGTATGTTGACCGTTTCGTCTTCTTCCATTTTTTTTTTGAACGATAGGAGCAAGTGGATGTAGTCGTGGAGGAGCAAAATTGTTTTGGTGCTGCCGTCTGCCTGTTTGCTTTTATACTTGCCGTTGAAGAAGTGTTTCGTCCTGTCCTTGTTGGCGGACAAGCGAAAAAGTCCTGCTCGATAATCAAAGTCCGTCCGGTTCCCTGGTTCAATTGATCCATCAGTCTTTCCACCGTCCTCGTCAACCCCAACTCCCTAGCGAACCGTAACAAATCTCCAAAATTTGAGATTTTCTTACTGTTACTTTAAAACTTTTAAGTAACGTCTAATTTGTCTTTTTTTTTGTATAACCGTGTGTTCCGTCAGTAACCGTACTGTTTTTTCCGTCAGCCTATCTGCAAGTCTCTTGCATTCTAACATGCAAGCCCTATCTTTCCTTCCTTTACTATCCCACAACTTTGGGTGTTCTCGCAGCAATTGACTAAAAAGACTGTTCGGTATATTTGCCATATATGCTTAAATTATATAAATTACAATAATAAATAATAATAAATACGTATAATATAATAAAATAAGGAAAATAATAATAATTCTAGAACCTGAAAATAAATGGGAAACAAAATAAACCAATTAAAAATAAATAATAAATATTAAATGAATAAATAATTATGAAGTTATTACAATTAAATATCAATTTCAATTTAATAATAACTAAAAACTAAATGATATAACCTGCGTCTTTTATTTATTTAATTTTTTTTTGGTTTGTTTCTATTTATTTACTTTTTTTTATTTTTTTCTTTATTAATTTATGAACACTGTGAACTTTTTTGATGTGATCTTCCTCTAATGATTTGCAAATGGATGAAATAAAATTTAAATAAAACACACATGACATGCCGTTGTGGTCGTTAACGTTGATAATTTTCCCATTTGTGCTTAACGTTTGTAAATGCTCATTTTATTTTCTACCTTGATAAAACAACATGAAATTGGATTTTTCGAATAACTTCTGGCACCTTTTGAAACATACCAAAACTCTGAAATGTGTTTTTTTTTTGCAATTTTCAAAAACATGATTTTTTATTTTCACTTCTCTCTAAGGCACTGCAACACTAGACGGTAGTTAATAACAGTAAACTTATTTATGTGCTTTTGCACAGTACGTGATTTCCCGTTTTATTTGTGTTTATATTTTCTAGTTTCGGTAATTCTGTAAATAAGGCAGCAATAAATTGTTATTCAATGATTAATAAGTTGTTTTCTGATGACAATAATCAGTCCAACTCTTCGATCCTTATTTGTGAAGGCTGTTATATGGAAATATTATGGGAAAGGGTGACAGTGGATGTCCTTTATATCAGTCGAATGCATATAAACGGTTTAAGAAATTCACACAATATGGCATAGTAGCAGCGAGAGGCACGACCTGTGATTTCCGTTATCTTTTGCCTAGCATTTTTACTAATGTCGTGACATTTATGCCTTGGAATACCGAACATATTGTTTAGCAATTACTGAACATATTGTTTATTATTTACTCAAACCCTACAGTTACGTCGTGGAGTTAACCAAATAATCTATAAATATCCTTATGTTGTGTTTAAATAAAACTACCTTAAATGTTCATAAATTTTTGAAAAATTGTAGAAAGAATCGCCTAAAACAGCTACGAGAGCTTTGTCATGAATTTTATGAACAAGCTTTTCAAATTTCATTTGTTTAATTTACTTTTATGATATTTAAGTATCATATGCGGCATAACATCATAAAAACCTAATAAGTATCTGTAATATATAAGTCAGGAAATAAGGTTGTCAGCCGCTTTCTAATTTTTATTTAAGCTTAAATTAATATACTTTTTTTCTTTCTTTCTTGTTGTAGATTGGTATGCAAACCTAAACTGTTTATAAACAAATGTTAAAAACAAATGATTTTCAAAGAAGTAACGGAACTAATTTAAAGTTTTCGCTACAATTGATTTCTCTAATTTCTTATTATTATTGACTTTTGTTAGTAGATTTTGTCGCGAACGATCGGAATCAGCTTTTGTTTAGACTAATTTTAAAGGAATTCATCTAAGTCTGTGTATTTATGTATGAAGACGGATTTTTCGCAGGAAATTTTTGCAAACTTCGTCCTCATATAAAACAAATAAAATTATCACAAACTTTTAATGAATACAACTCCAAGAGAATTAATTGTATTTCTTTGTACACACACAAATTATGAGTATCAAAAAAATCATTGTGCCAAAAAAAACCAAACACAAGAAGGGGATGCGTTTCTCGCTTAACCCGAAAGATAGTGCTACTACGAATCCCTGCCTTATTATCCATTCAGAATTAGCTCCAAATTTTTGTGACAACATACAAAAATTGCGCATGTGTAGATAACTTCCAACTTCAATGCAGTGCTTTGAATGAAATATCCATTTTCTTGGAAAAATTGTTTTTTATTTATTTATTTATTTATTTATTTATTTTATTCCACCTATACTAGAAACTCAACTAAACAAATAACAGTCGAGTTCAATAGGCTCTTAATGCAAAAGTAATATTAATTAACAATAAAGTTGAGTATAAGCATAATAAAACAAACAAGAAGAAAGAAAAAGAAAAAAAAAGCATGTACACTATCAGTATAGGAGCACACTTCCAACCGGTACAGGACCAAATTGCAAATGAACCCCTAAGCCATCGCAA